ACATCAAGTTTACCTCAGACATTTTAATGCGCTTCATGCTTTTCTTCCCTGGTGTTGCTCTCTAGATTACCAATCATCATCGACTACCTAGCCATGCCAATTAGTGATAGGGATGACAGCTAAACCATGACTACTATGAACGCCAAAGTATCTACTTGAGCTTTATGTGTAATGTTTCATTACGGATTCTCTTCTCTAGCTATGTTTCACGTTAGTTTTGGGAAACAAGATATAATCTTTTAGTTAGCGGCGAAATCAAAGTAGTCAAGTTACCATCATTTCTATTTTTCAGGGAATTGTTGCATCTGCCCTGAACTACGGAATGTTGACATGGTGCAATAAGATTCTTGGCCCTTCTATGGTTGCGCTATACAATCCACTTCAACCTGCTGCGTCTGCATTTCTATCAAGAGTTTTCCTTGGGAGCCCTATTTATCTAGGAAGGTCAGTGCTTAACTTCCCCTATAAGCAAAACTTGTGTATATATACCAATGCTTATTATCATTTCCTCGTTGTCATGCTTCACGATTTTGGACACAACGGGGCCTACAAAGGCGAAAGAGTTTTGAAAGCTCTTTCCCCCGGAAAATGAGCATACTCATATCCGTTTATACTAGCCACATTTGGCTATCTCATACAATCTTTTCGCCTTCTACTCTTACGATCTCATGAATATTGTCAATGCAGCATATTTGGAGGACTTCTCATTATATCTGGGCTTTACTTGGTAACTTGGGCATCTTACAGACAAAGGCAAGCAGCCATTGGTATCGATCCTCATGCTTCTCGATCGTCGGAACCTCCAATTACATATCAACTAGGACACCTTTTTTCAGTTCCTCCTTCCTCAATACCAAAGATCATTGATTAGGTAGTGCTGTGGATATTCATATTGAAGTGACAATTTTATCAAAACTTTTTTCCTGTATTAGTTAGGAGGCATACAGAAACTCTATCATCTCAGTTGTTTGTTGCTTCTCTTAATTTATACTAGAACAACTTGTTGAATCTCGATGATAGACTTATACCCGCGAAATATACTCAAGGACACTGTCCTTGATACAAAAATTTCCATGTTTTTTTTTCAACAATATTATCCCCAACAAAGAAACAAGCTTTGAAATCTACGTATGAATAAGAATACTACTCAAAAGGCATAATATAATGAATGGCACATCTGAACACCTTAACTTGCTTCCAATTGTGTCGGTTGAACATTCTAACTAATAGAATTATCATATAGACGTCTCTAAAATTATGTGTCATGTCAGTGTTAGGTGTTGACGAGACACAATGAGGACAATTTTTGAGGTGTCCAGATGTACATTTTCAAAACTGGAATGTGTTTGAATCAGCACTGATTAGATGAAAATCATGAAGCTGGATGAATAACCAAAACACAAATCATCTAAAACAACTACAGATCGTATATAACACAACTCGTTGGATAAATATCGATGCAGAGAACAAATCAAACACATCAAGAGCAAGAATATAACCAAAACCTTACGTTTTAAGGATATACTACTATGGGAGTTATAGTCTTGACTCGTCGTAACAGACTCCATCGACGAGTACGGAAAAAAAAATTACATGAAATAATAGTACTCAAAAATAATTCATCATTTAGACTCGTGCAAAAAAAATTTAGCAATGCTAGTGTGCAAGGGCTATAAGACATTAGAAATGTCTTATTTCTTCTCTTCCTTCTCAGCTTCAGCTGCTCTCTTCAACCTAGCACCAAAATGACGAGCATTGGTACGCTCAATACGCAGCTTGCCATAAGCTTTGAATGATTTCATTTCATCTGTGATCTTCACAAGCTCGATAGCTGGCTGATCTCTAACAATAGGCAAGTAAGGACCCTGGACTTGGGTGGCATTAGCAAGTTCCTCAGCACTAGAATCACCAGCCTGTGCATTTGTGTTGGGAAGATGTAAGTTCAAAGACGCTACATCAAAATACCAATAAGCAAACAAAAAGTTGTTCAATTGTCATATCATGACTGCTTACCTTGACTTTCTTAGCATGCCTTGGGAAGATAACGAGCTTAGCTTTGTATGTCTTGAGTCTCTGGACGTTGGTCTGGAGACCTTCAAGGGATCTGTTCCTGCGCCTGTGATCCACAGCAATGCCGATAGTTGGAGCAAGTTTTTTGGGGATACCAGCTGCCTGAAAACAAAAACAAAAAAAAAGAAGCTGATTGATATACTTGAATCTCTAGATACAAGTACATGGTAAGGAGGGCTTTATATTTTGGCAGATCATATCTAAAAGATAAAAAGATAATGATGTGATCAACTTCAAATTCTATAGTTGCAACTTAGATAGAGGTGTAAAATGGAGTCTGCCCTGCTCAAAATGGCTTTTGGCATGTGAACTTGCTTGCGCAAGAACCAAACTCTATATAAGCTCAAAATGCCAAACTCTAATACAAGCTCAGCGTCAAACATAGATCCCAACAGGGGAACGAATCTCAATTGAGCCAAACGTGTCTAGTAGGTGGTTGCTTTTTACGACAATCTAGAGCAAGATTAGACAGAAAAATTTACTTTCAGCTCTTCTAGAGAGAATCCCCGGCCAGCTCTGACTTTCATGTTGTATTTTAGTGTTTGTCCATGAACAATAGGTCTGAGTGATCCTGCTGTTGGCCTAGGGAAGATTGTTGCAGCTTTCTTCTGCCTAGCTGGAGTTGGCAAAAGCAAAACAGGTCAGGAAGTGTAAGTATTCTTGAGCCAATGATGAATTTGAGGCTTAAAGCCAGCTATCAAAAAATGGGGAAACTCACCAGCACGTCTCCTTGTTTTGCGAGCAGGTTGGTTAAACCATGTCCTCACATAGTTTTGCCAATGCTTCTTAAAGTGGCCGTTGGGGATAACATTGTTATGCTTCATGGTTTACCTGTGTATGCTGACACAAGGAATTAAGGTACTAAGAGTTGGAAACACCTAAGGAAATATATGACGAGGATAACAAAGCACCAATCAACATGCAATGGAACATAGTTTTTCAATTAAAGTAGTAGGTCTATGAAATTCAAAAAGCAATTTGAGAAAGCATATGTAAACATTATGATTTAAAAACAAGAAATAACACAGGAATAATATGGTAAGCATTTTAAGAACTTATACTAAAATAAAAAACAAGAAGTATCTAGTAGTTACGATTCAAACAGCATGAAAAGTTTCAAGAATAAGCTCAATTTTGTGATTTTATCAAAATGAAATACAAAGAAGTTCAAAGGACACCGGGGTAGCAGTAGTCCCTGAGCATTTATGCTAAAGTTGCACATTCATTAACTTCCAAGACACTGAATACCAATTTTACCGAACCAAAAACACAAACAAAGATAAACAGTATTTAACACCTTCATTTATCTACCCATACATCAATACGACAGAATACCACACCATACAAACACTATCAATATGAATAGAAGATATCATTCCTGGAGCAAAATGAAAGCGTAATCACATAAATAGGTGGATGTCTTGAGAGGATCAGAACGAACACATCTTAGTAAAATAGGCAGTCCAACTAGATAGGCCAAACAAAACATAAACTAACATAGGCAAAAGCAACTCTCATATTTACAAGTGCATTCCACCACACCACCCTGCCATCATTCTCCAATTGAACCCAAATTGATAGTGTTCAACAACAGTGGTGTCCGGTCCAGCTTTCACACTGGACACCTATCACCTCCGGAATTGAAATTACGAACTCAGTCAATGGTTCACTAACTGAAATTCCATCTAACTATATCCATAACAATCTAAACTAATCAATCATCATCATCTAAGCAAAAACACTAACTCCTAAATAAACAAAAACAATAAACAACATATCAATCAAAATATACCAAAAAATTCATTTTACAGTTTCTCAGAACCCTCTCAACACTTCCGCTCACCATTTCCGGCCTCAAATCCAGAAAACACCAAACAAACTACCGGAAAACCACAATTATTCACTCATTTTGATAACAATAAGCTCATTAGAAAGCAAATTCAAACTACACTAACAATTCTATAAGCAAAATTAAACGATAATGTATCAAAACATTAGCAAATCTATCTGAAACTCACCGAGAAATCGAGCAAAGCTGAAGTTTTTTTCTCCTTTTGAGGCTTATGAAACAATAAGGTTCGCTTTTATGTGAGAAACCCTAAAACGAAACAGTTTTTTGGGCTTCTAATAGGCCCATTACTCTTTAGGGGACAAAGTTTAAAAAATAGCCAATTTAAAAGATTGCAAGTTTAGCCATTTTGAAACTATTTTCAGGCATTTACTATTGAAGTTAACAAGATCAAACTTTTTTGTGTTATAGTGTGAAGTTGTAGGATTATTGATAAGGAAAAAATAGATTTTTTGAATCTCAAATTTTCGATAAAAATTTAAAATACACGTCTTATATTTTTCTTTTATTTTGAATATTTTTTTCTATTTTCAAAAACCTCTAAAATATTTTATTTCTTTAATATATTCGAGTTACATATTAATGTATTTGAGCTAGTATTTAATATATTCGAGCTACATTTCATGTATCCGATTATTTTATAATGCATTCGAACTAGTTTTTAATGTATCCGAGCAATTTTTAATATATTCAAGCTAGTTTTTAATGTATACGAGCTACATATTATGTATCTGATTTATTTTATATGTATTCAGATTAGTTTTAAATGTATCCAAACTACATATAATGTATTCGAGCTACATATTATGCATTCAAACTAGTTTTTAGTGCATCCGAGCTACATATTTGGTTTATTTTATAATGTATCCGAACTATATATTAATGTATCCGTTTTATGTTACTTTTTAAGAAATTTATTAAATTACAAAGTAAAGAGAGATAAATTATAATTTCATGTTAAAATTATGTGATTTCCGTAAAATTTACTATTATAGAATATATTGTTTTAGTACCCAAATATTAAGTAATATCCAATATGATATTAAAGTATTTACTTATACGCGTCCAAAATCGATTCCACAAATACAAAACCAAGTGAAAGGAACATTAATTAAATAGCCACACATACAGCCGAATTGTGTTTCAACTCGCTGCTACGGAGCATTGAGCATTTGCTGCCGCCGGCTGTATCGCTCGCCGCCGTTCAATCCTTCCGAGGTATGTGAACTCGATTTTTCTCTATTTTATGCTTTTATTTCTGAAAAACTGAATTAGATAAACTGATCTGAAGAAGAAGAAGAAGAAATGTGTTCGTTCAGACTGTCTTTGTAATGAGGGAAAACAATGAATTGATTTATTTATTTTTTTGATACCGCACGAAGAAGAAGTATTAATGTGTATTGATAAATTTGTGGTTTTCAGAAGAAGCTAAAATTTGTAGTTTTTTTTTTCTTCTTCTATATTTACCAAATGAATTGGAATTCCTAATTATTTCAATGTTTGAGAATTTGATGTATTTAGTAACTAGGAGAAAATAATTTGCCAGTTTCAAGATTTGTATTATCTTTTGGCTTTTTGAGATACAAGCTAAGTGAACTGAACCATTATTTTGAAATGTTGTATATTTGAAAAAAAAATTTGATATGAGGAGTATTGCTCAGAGAATTAGTCGATTAGTTTTGTACAGTATAGCTCGGAGAATTAGTCGATTCGATTCTTGATAAGCAGAAGTGGTGGTGAACAGTATCTTTTATATGGTACCCTAACATCTACCATCCTCGACTGTTCTCCCTAGGAGTCAATAGTATCACTCTCCGTGTTGCTCTCGTGGTGAGTCGAGCCCCCCAACTTCATAGTTGGAGGTGGAAGGCGTTTTCCGCTTGAGCTAACCCTCTCTTTGTTTAGAAGTGACACACAAAGTGGGACTGAGACAGAAATGTTTAGTGAATGCAATGACTCCCACCCACTCCCCTTTATGTATTGTGGGTGTGGGAATTGCTTCCGGGGAAGAGAGAGGCGGGATGTTTCGACATAAGAGTATGAAGAAGCATATGATAAATATAGAGACTGCTAAATGATTAGGTGATAATTGTTTTTAGTATGACTCCTCTTCTTGGACTTATCTTATATATATACTTCTCTTCTACTTTGGCAATACAAAACAATCAACTCAGACAGTTGAGCGACTAAGATTCTCTATAATTATATTTGCTTAGTTTTGCAAGTCTCACAGACTAAATTTGAAAAACCCGATCAACAAAGTCAAAATTCGTATAGCCAAACAACTGAGCGACTAAAGAGTCCCTTTAGCTATAGTTGCTTAGTTTTGTAAGTCTCATAGGCTGAATTTGATAAACCTGGCCAACAGTGGGTTTAGAAGATCACAAAGAAAGCCCAGTTTAACTCAGCTTCTAGACCTAATTCTCCAAATCTCCTTCTATATATTCTCTCTTTCTTCGTATCAAAAATCCATCTAGGGTTAGCTCCCAATTTTCTACACACTGGGGATTCAGTGGCTGCAATCGCTACTATACTGCCAATCTAGAATTTGCTTCGTTTTGCACTTTGCAATCATATAAGCTTCGCTAAATTCTCAAATTAGTGGTCTTACAGTGTTAGTGCGTATAGGAAAAGCTGAAGTTATCAGCGGCAGCCAGACATCTGTTGAGATGAATCCACAGATGCGTTCTGTTTATGCTCCTGTCTACTAATTTCATCTCACATTTTGTTGCTACTATATCTGTAGTTTTTTTATTTTGATGGTACAATTTTTGAAATTGGGCTGAGTTTTTCAGTACTCGTATAACCCCCAAAGTATCTATATCATCATAGAATAAGCCGTCTTTGTTGATGTAGCATTTGATTTTTTCTGTTTTCCTTTGGGATGATTGAAGATTCATCTGTTTAATTTGTGTGGCTACATGAACTTACACAATAAAAAAGTGTGTTAATATGTCTTTGATTGCACTATATGAAAGTCTATTCAACAGGAGTTTTATCTCGTCTGGAATTACAGGATAGAGCCAACTTTGGCGACCTTGAAAAATAGGTAGCGCTGGGTGTTATTTTGAAGGGAAAAGATAAGCATTATGAGAACAACATTAGTGAGACAGAAGGGTATCAAGATTTATTGGAAATATTACAGTAGTCTTTGCCATCCCAAGGTGAATGAGACACGTTCTTCAACAAACTTGCGTTCATTTAGCAGCTCCAACAAATTCAGCGATTACTCTGATGAATCCGCTGAATCCAACTATCCTCCTCCTCCTGAGCCTATACCAAATAGGCCCTTACGAGCTGATTCCAGGAGGCCCTTCAATCCATCCCAAAGACAGCATCCAAGCAACAGAAGCAGCCCCAATCATTCTACAACTTTTAGAAGATCCAGTGAGAACAATGAAAGTCAAATGAAATCCCAGGATAGTGAAGATTTTCTGAAAAGATTTCAGCTTGGATTTGATCGTAAAGAGGAAAACCCAAACACAAACCCCAAAGCTGAAAGTAGAGACTGTCCTGTTTCAGAGGCACCTCCAGCTCCACCAGAAGATGCTGATGAGATATTCAAGAAAATGAAAGAAACTGGCTTAATACCTAATGCTGTAGCAATGCTTGATGGGCTCTGCAAGGACGGCTTGGTACAGGAAGCGATGAAGCTCTTTGGCCTGATGCGTGAAAAGGGTACAATACCTGAAGTTGTTATCTATACTGCTGTGGTAGATGGCTTTTGTAAAGCCCAAAAATTTGATGATGCTGTGAGGATTTTCCGTAAAATGCAAGGTAATGGCATTATTCCTAATGCTTTTAGTTATGGTATCATAATCCGCGGGCTCAGTCAGGGCAAGAGATTAGATGATGCACTTGAGTTTTGCTTGGAAATGTTAGAAGCTGGACATTCACCCAACGTGGTAACGTTTGTGACTTTGGTTGATGGATTTTGCAAGGAGAAAAGTCTTGAAGATGCACAAAACATGATCAAAACAGTGAGGCAAAAAGGGTTCATCGTTGACGATAAGGCTGTTAGGGAATTTTTGGACAAGAAAGGGCCATTTTTGCCAGTGGTTTGGGAGGCAATCCTTGGGAAAAAAGCTTCACAGAGGCAATCTATTTTCTAAAAAGTTCTTTTTTTTTCCTCTGAAATATTCTAGAGTTTTATCGACATATGGACAATATGTATGAGTATTATCATTTTATTCAAATTTTAATAGCATTTTAATGCCTATTTGGATTGTTGCAGAGTCTATAGTTTTAGAACTTCTTTGTGCCAATATCTGCTATCAATGTTTTCATGCTTTGCAATGAACGGTACTTTGTTATGGGTGAGATGAACTTAACTCTACAATCACTTTACACAAATAATTGTTGATCAAAAGTTAGTTCAGCTCCAGTTATTACCCATATCTCCCATCACCAAATTATTGAAGATTTAAATGAGATATAAACAGACCTTTCTCTACATATGAACTATGAGACGATGCACTTCTTGATATAGGATAAAAAATTTTGAACTTCATTAGATAGCCATCGAAATATATGTATATTGTATTGTGAAGCATCACATCATATTATTTAGTTTAAACAAGTATTACATAGTTCACAAAATGTCTATACTATAACTGAAAACATGAAGAAAAGTTGATGTTCCAAAATTTCAACAATTCCCTCAACCACCTTGTTCTGCTCCCTGAAATTGCTTCGCATTGTCGCCGACTGTTCTTCCATTTACAAGGATGGTTATCACGTAGCAACAGGTCAATATGTTTGTACTACATTCAAATGAAGATAAGAGCAATTGATTGATTCATATAAATAGATTTAAATCCATAAGTAGAGTACAAAACAACCATTGTTAAACAATTCCAAAAATTACAATCTTCAAGCCAATATCAGTAACAACAAGAAACAATACATAAAAGTTAAAAAAAAAGATAAAAGAGGAAAAGGTAGTGCTATGATGTGAAGTCAGAAGTAGCTGGTTGTAGTAATCACATTAAAAACATCAGTGGGAATCCGAATGATTTCTTCATCATCCTTACACACCATAATTATCAATATATTTCATCAAAAATTGTTTTAAAAAAACACAGAAATTGGAATAATAGCACTGGAAGACATAAATGTACAAATTTCAACTCTATAAATGCAAAACATAAGTGATGGATCAGAATATCTGGCTTGGATTTTCTCCTAATAAGGAGAAAATACAGTAAAAGCGCTCAGTAATTTCAACTTCGATCATCTGGGGAAATAATCATCATATCCATAAACACAAAATTCAACAATAATAGTTCATAAAAACAAAAAAAGATCAAATTTCATCAAAGATTAGCTAAGCATATAAAATTAAGTTGAATTGAATGTATATCTCATGGTCAATCCCAAATAGTAATAGCAGAGATTCCGCTCCACAAGGCTATAGGATATGAGATCGCCATCTTCGGATTACAACACAGGATTCTTCAATCTTCCCAAAGGAAAACAGAAAAAACAAAGTGCTAAATCAACAAAGACAGCTTATTCTATGATGATATGGATACATCGGATTATACGAGTACCAAAAAACTCGCCCCAATATCAATAGTCTTACCATCAAAATGAAATATCAAAGTATAAAACAAAAAGTGACATTTATTTATCTCAAATGACTGAATCCATAAATAATAGCAAGATCCAACTATTGACATCTCTAAAACCTCATGATCAAGTTTTTCTAAGTACATTTGTACATCGATATAAAAAGTTAAAAAGAATACAGTATTCAAACAATGGGGAAAATCCTCAGAAGAATTGCTTGTAGTTGACATCAAAATCAATAAATTCAGGTCTCAAAGATTTCATGCCATCATTGGATAATCCCCAAACACTAGATAAAAAAAAACAATATTAAACAAGTGGATTATTTTTGCATTTTGAGTCCTACAATACAACTAAAACTTGTACCAAATCAATGTAAATCATCTAAAATTGAACAAAAATGACACAGGAAGTGGAATAATTGCACTGAAAGATATGAATTAACAGCAAGACAAAACATAAATTGGTATATGGATCAGAATTTCTGGCTTGGATTTTCTCCTATAAGGAGAAAATACATAAAAGCGCTCAATAATTTCAGCTTCGATCATCTGGGGAAATGATCATCATATCCAACCAAACACACAAAATCAACAATAATCGACCAATTTCTTTCTTAAATACACAAAAAGATCAAATTTTTTTTCTTATAAATGGATACATACAAGAATATTAGGCTTGGATTTTCACCTGAACAGAGATCATACATGAAAAAGAGCTCAGTAATTTCAGCTTCGATCATCTGGGGACATAATAATCATATACATACATACAAAACAAACAATTATCAATCAAATCAGTTCATCATACAAAAAGACCAAATTTTTATCATATAAACAGAGACGGATCAGAATATCTGGCTTGGATTTTCCCATATAAGGAGAAAATACATAAAAGCGCTCAGTAATTTCAGCTTCGATCATCTGGGGAAATAATCATCACTTCCATCAATTGAACAAACAAAAAGGCAATAGCTTTATAAAAAATATCTCCAAATCTGATTCAAACAGCACTTTAAAGAGCTAACATGAAAAAATTATGAAGCAGAAATGGAATATACATATCGCGTCAGCTCATACACAGCGATCATTGTATATAAACATCGATGGTAATCAGTATATCGACGCATTTCAACAAAAATAATCATATTGTAAGTATATGGATCAGAATATCTGGCTTGAATTTTCCCCTGAACGGAGAAAATACATGAAAAAGCGCTCAGTAATTTCAGCTTCGATCATCTGGGGAAATAATCATCAACTCCATACAACAAATTCAACTAACAAATGAACAATCAAAACATAGAAAACAATTGAAATTAATACATATGGATCAGAATATCTGGCTTGGATTTTCCCCTAAAGAGGAGAAAATGCATTATAAAGCGCTCAGTTATTTCAGCTTCGATCATCTGGGGAAATATTCATCAAATCCATATTCAAATCAATCAGAAAAATCATAATAAACACTGAATAATCAATTTTTTTGAAGATTTAAGAGAAAAAATGGAAGAAAATTGGAGATGGATCAGAATATCTGGCTTGGATTTTCTCCTAATAAGGAGAAAATACATGAAAAGCGCTCAGTAATTTCAGCTTCGATCATCTGGGGAAATATTCATCACTTCCATCTCAAATCACAAAGCAGTTTACACATAGTTCAAGCAAAGCAAAACTATAACATATAAAAGCCTCAGAATTGCAGAATTGACAACAAGGCCTTAAGGGCCATTCAGTCCCGAAAGATGGTGTTCTTTATAATAGATTTCATCACAGGCATGAAGATATGAAAATTAAGTTGAATTGAATGTATTTCTCATGGTCAATCCCAAATAGTAATAGCAGAGATTCCGCTCTACAAGGCTATAGGATATGAGATCTCCATCTTCGGATTACAACATAGAATCCTCCCATCTTCCCGAAGGAAAACAGAAAAAATCAAATGCTACATCAACAAAGACAGCTTGATGATATAGATACTTTGGGTTATACGAGTACTGATAACTCGCCCCAATTTCCAAATTGTACCATCAAATTGAAAAAACTACAGATATAATAACAGCAAAATGTGAGAAGAAATTAGTAGACAGGAGCAAAAACGAAACCCATCTGTGGATTCATCTCAACGGTTGTCTGGCCGCCGCTGATAAATTCAGCTTTTCCTATACGCACTAACGCTGTAAGACTGCACTAACTTGAGAATTTAGCGAAGCTTATATGATTGCGAAGTGCAAAGTAAACAGAATACAGTTACTATATGAAAACTAAAACTAAGCAAATTATACAATACCGGCGGTATGGTATCAATGGCGGCCACTGAATCGATGGCGACTGGAGAATTGGGAGCTAACCCTAGATGATATTTGGAGAAGAACGAAGAGGAGAATTTATAGAAGGAGATTTGGAGAATTAGGGTTAGAAGATGAGTTAAACTGGGCTTTTTTTGTGATCTTGTATACTCAACGTGGGCCGGGTTTATCAAATTTATCCTATAAGACTTGCAAAACTAAACAACTATAGCTAAAAGGGGCTTTTTGTCGTTCGGTTATTTGGCTATGTGAAATTTTTATTTTTGTTTGTCGGGTTTATCAAATTTAGGCTATGAGACTTGCAAAATCAAGCAACTATAGCTAAAGGGACTTTTCGTCGTTCAGTTGTTTGGCTATATGAATATTTACTTTGTTGGTCGGGTTTATCAAATTTAGGCTATGAAACTTGCAAAACTAAGCAACTATAGCTAAAGAGACTTTTCGTCGTTTAGTTGTTTGACTATATGAATTTTTATTTTGTTGGTTGGATTTATCAAATTTAGGTTATAAAACTTGCAAAACTAAGCAACTATAGCTAAAGAGACTTTTCGTTGTTTAGTTGTTTGGCTATATGAAATTTTATTTTGTTGGTAGAGTTTATAATATTTATCCTATGAAACTTGTAAAACTAAGCAACTATAGCTAAAGGTACTTTTCGTCGTTCAGTTGTTTGGCTATGTGAATTTTTACCTTGTTGGTCGGGGTTATCAAATTTAGGCTATGAGACTTACAAAACTAAGCAACTATAGCTAAAGGGACTTTTCGTCGTTTAGTTGTTTGGCTATATGAATTTTTATTTTTGTTGGTCGGGTTTATCAAATTTAGCCTATGAGACTTACAAAACTAAGCAACTATAGCTAAAGGGACTTTTCGTGGTTCAGTTGTTTGGCTATATGAATTTTTACTTTGTTGGTTGGGTTTTTTAAATTTAGTCTATGAGACTTGCAAAACTAAGCAAATATAATTATAGGGAATCTTAATCGCTCAATTGTCCGGTTATATGAACTTTCACTTTGTTGGTTAAACCCACGAGACTTTCAAAACGAAGCAAATATAGAGCTAGAGGAAATTTTGGTCGTTCAATTGTCTAGCTGTACAAATTTTCACTTTGTTGATAATGTCATATTTTCGACCTTAAACAAGCAAATAATATCATTTTCGCGTCTATCTTAGCCTTAATGGTTGTATAATGCTTGTTGCAAAATTAGCTGGGTCGTATAAAAATGGACTTGAATATCGTGATCATAAATAAATAAACGAAAAAAAGTCAAAAATATACTTAAACTATTCGAAAACAACTCATATTTATCTCTAAACTATATTTTGGCTCAGAACTACTCTTTCTGTCAAATAATTGGGTCAAAAGTGATATTTCGACTCAAAACTATTATTTCCGTCAAATATAATATTTAACAATTTTCGTGAATAAAAAAAGACATTTTTAACTAATAATTTGACGGGGAAGGGTAGAAATGTCAAACTAATTAGATTAGAATTATATTCTAACACTATAAAGAGCAACGTGGTAATCTCTGCTGGACTTTTGCTTATTTTCTACGCCCATAAATCTAATCCCGTAACGCTTTTCTCCGTCGCAACTCCGATAGAAAAAAAATGGCGACCGGCGGCGGTGCTACTGGTGGTGGAGGAAAAGTTTCGTTCAAAGTCACTCTCACTTCCGATCCTAAATTGCCTTTCAAAGTGTATGTATTATTTTTTATATCTGAAATTCTCTTTTTTTCTCTTTGATTTTACACCTTATCTGTGTTATTTTCTTCAGTTTTAGCGTTCCGGAAGCTGCTCCGTTCACCGCTGTGCTGAAATTTGCTGCTGAGGAATTCAAAGTACCTCCACAAACTAGCGCCATTATCACTAATGGTATAAAATTCCTTGTATTTTAGACGTTTGTGTAATTTAATTTTTGGCTGAAGTTGCTGTAGAATCATTGATTACATGTACTGTAGTTAATTTTTTGAATTAGTTATATTGTTTGGTTAGATTAAAAAATGGAGTTCGATGAATTTGCTCGAATCAAATCAGGAGCAGTAATGAAACTAGTTTGATCCAGCTGGGAGGTAGTTTTGCTCCGGGGGCGGAGCTAGAAGGTTACGTATTTGTATTAAGAAATCTACTCAATAGATCAACAACATGCCTAGGGAAATTTTTACGAGCGGTGTCTAGGGGAGGGTAGTATGGTCGTGAAGGTCTAGGCTCTTTGCGGGAAGATACTTGGCTCGAGTGCATCAAATCAAAGTAGTTGAGAAATCCACTTAAGATGTACATAAGTTAAATTTAACACCTACACCTTGATTTTCAGATGTAAAGGTCAAATCGTGGCTTCGCCTTTGGTTTCACTTATAACAAGGTAGATGAATAATGTAATTCACCTCAGGTGAAAGCAAATGTTTAACAAAATTGATTATGGTGATTGAGGAAATTGAACATTATGTTATTCACCTTAGTGAAAGCAAACGATTCATGTTTAAGATAATCGTTTATGGTGACTGAGAAAATAAAGATATCATCCGTATTGTGGTGAAGAAAACGATATATTTGGTTTATTTTGACTATGTTTTCTTATTTGTTAGTCTAATGAGGAACAGGAAATAAAGCAATTTGGAATTTGGTTTTCTTACTCATTGCCTGTATAATTAGAAAAAAGAAACGCATGCTTTTACTAAATGTATGTCTTGTTTTGACACTATTTCTTTGTCCTTTTTATCATATTTTGCAGATGGAGTGGGTATTAATCCTCAACAAAGTGCTGGTAACTTTACGCTTTTTACATTTTTGTTTATAGTTACCTCCTGTATGTACTTCATGATAGTTTATTTTTGATTTATGGATGATAAACAATCTGTGAATTGGGATACATGTGAGCAAAATTCAATGAACTAAATAATATCATGTACCCATGGATCGGTTAAATAATTATATATGAGCTCTTTAGTAGATTATTAACCAAATCTATGTGGGAAGTTTATGACAGTCAATGAGTTGTGTTACAAAGTTGGTTTCAGAGTGTTGATGAACAGTGATAAGGAGTAGAAAGTATCGATAGTGTCAATTCGAATAATCTAAGTTTATAATGAGAAGTGCTAGAATAAACTTCTCATCACGAAGTTGTCATCTTGAACCCCCTTTCTCAAATTATGATTTGTTGGTTTCACGGGACATTTTTCGCTCACTCTTTAACTGTTCTATGTTAATTTTCTTAGTGAGCTTTGTGTGTTCATCATACATAGCTCAATGTGTTGTATCGTGTATGCGTCTGACCTAAGGTATATACAGTCATGAACTTTGTGCACCAACCTAGATTACTTTCTGGGTTGCCAGATAACAATCTACTACTGCCTCTTTGCCACTGGTTACGCCTTTCATTTTCCCACGATCTTAGTTCTTGTTCTTCAAGTTCTGTAGTAAGTGCTTATGAATGGATGTGTGTGGTATTTATTTATTTTTCCTGTTTTCTTTTTGTTGTAATATTTACCAAGAGGCTCCATCGTTATCGCAATGACCTTACTTTTCCTATTGACTGACGATTCATAGCACCTCGATCCACTTGGGGAAGTTTCACTTTTTGAACTTCCACAGTGCATAAATTAGTGCAAAGGATTCTTCTTTATCCATCATAATCTGA